GTCCTAACAGCTAACTCATACTGCGTCCCAACAACTAACTCATACTGCGTCCTAACAGTAAACGTATACTGCGTCCTAATAACTAACTCATACTGAGTCCTAACAGCTAACTCATACTGCGTCCTAACAGTAAACGTATACTGCGTCCTAACAACTAACGTATACTGCGTCCTAATAACTAACTCATACTGAGTCCTAACAGCTAACTCATACTGCGTCCCAACAACTAACTCATACTGCGTCCTAACAGTAAACGTATACTGCGTCCTAATAACTAACTCATACTGAGTCCTAACAGCTAACTCATACTGCGTCCTAACAGTAAACGTATACTGCGTCCTAACAACTAACGTATACTGCGTCCTAATAACTAACTCGTACTGAGTCCTAACAGCTAACTCATACTGCGTTCTAACAATTAGCTTATTCTACGACCTAACACTTAATCCTCTACGACAGAAAATGTCGTCTACTGCGACAATACAGTTACCCTATCGTAGGTTAGTAAAAGCATTGAGAACAGCATACTATTGATGTCAATCATACATTACCGTTGATTATTGTTCAAACTCAATTTTATACACTATGTTCAAGAATTCAAAAGTATTGACCTCAGATAATATGTATAAAATATTAAAATTTCCAATAATGTTTTTTTTCAAAATCTGAAGTAGAGAATAAATGCATTTATGTATCATAATGCTGGCTAAGCTTTATAAACTGTTAACATATGTACATCACAATGTCTTATGCTTTATGGATTATCTGCCCTTGATTCCGATTCCACAAGATCAGCTACCAACTTCATGAGTGTAAACCACGCTTTCTTCACAGCATCGACATCTACGTTGTCCCTACCCTCCGTGACTGAATCAATGAGTTCATGTATAGCTGGTATCATCCACTGAAACAGGAAAACATTACACATTGACGACTCGTGTGCCTTCTTCAGCACTACAAAACTTAACATTGTAACACACATAACAAAAATGAGGAACGGACCAGACGGGTTTGAATTTCAACATAACAGCTTGAATGTACAGTGCATTATTTTACATTTTTAGTGTATTTTTATATTATTTCTAAGATTTTTGGTGCGAAAAAAACATTTATGTAAATGATATATATCGCCCATCTCTTTCCGGTCTTCAATGTCAAACATAGATAGATATTTATATCCTATTTTCAACAGAAAAAAATACATCTGTTGTTAAACTTCACATTAGTCACTACTAGGAAAGGGTGTAGCGATGAGGACTTTGTTCATATAAACAGTTTTTTAGTTGTCAATCATTTTATTACACTGGTTGAAAGAACACTTACTCGCCCAGATATTTCATTTCATATATATATCCTGATTTGTCCTTATAAAACAAAAAGTGACAGAACTACCCGCGTTTCATTTGTGCTCCAGAATTAACAATTAAAATACAAACCCTACTCTTCTTCCCAATTCCTACTCTCCTTTCTCAACCTTACTTTCCGTCCTCGTCGGCATGCCATGGTCCCGTAATGAAATCTAATTGTATTAGCTCTACTTGCCTCAGAAGTAATATTCTATTTATCTTCGCCCTGTTGACTTGTCATGTCACATTTGAGACAATTCGCAGTATCACTACATGTACTTTCTTGATAAAAAACCACTCCGTTTGCCAATACCTATTTAGCCATGACGAGTTGTAGTGTGGTTTGGATCAGTGTTACAGAATTTACTCTTTATCGTGCTCTGATATCCTACTGAGATTTTTCTCCTGGGATTTCAGTATCTACCATCACTTTGTCCCATATAATTTGACTTGATTGGAAGTTTTATCGGAATTTATTATGTTTTTCCTTCTGCTGCTTTCATCTGTGCCTTGTTCAAAGTGTTTGCATGTGCATCAACGTTGAGTTCCTGTGTCGTTACCTTTAACGCTTTGCAGTAGTATACTTCTTCTTTTTATTTTACTTTTTATCACGTTCCAAAGTCGCCTTATTGACCATCAATCCAAATGTCAAGTTTTGTTGGTCTAGCACTTATAGTTTCAGAGAAATTAACTGAAACGTAAAAACTGAATGTGGATGAAGATGCTGACAAAGTCAATGGACCATACCATGAAAGATGGGCCGTATCCAACATTTGATGCAAGGGTTGAGATGTAATACCTAAGCAGTAACTTAAACGCAAAACCTTAATGTTGACGCTGCCGCCGAAAAAGTAACACCTAAGTCTCGCTTCGTGGCGGCGAGACAAAAATGAATAGTTTTTCTACTTGATACTTTCCATGGTGCATACTATTACCTGGTTAGTCATAAAATAATTCTATCGCGTGATAGTTTCCCAGTAAATGTTGATGAGGTTCCGAAGAGGTGAAACCACAAACAAACAAGACATAACTTACGTACCATGAACTGTTCCCGTCCAATGCCTTTGTCCAAATGGGTCCTTGCTGTTTTCCGCACCAGTTCCTTGAGACAATAAATGTCGTCAAGACTGTCGATGTAAGACTCCAGGGCGTACATCACACTCATACCATGGGCCACCATCCGATAGTTTGTCTTTGTCGTCTCACTAACACGAAAAGTAAGCCGTTAGCTAATCATTGATATCAACGTTGTGACGAAGAACGATACCGACCACAAGGGATCCAAACAATCAAACTATTGCTTATATTGAAAATAATGTAGGGATTAAGCCTGAAACTAATATATGATTACTGAAACAAAACGATGGATGTATGCGAGTTGATATAACTTTCAATCTGTTTTTAAGTCTAAAGCGTATTTTTTATTTATTTAGTTACATGAATTTTCTGTTATGGTCGTGTTTTTTTCATATTGGACGAAGAGAATTTGTGGTTGTAAAAGAAACTTTTTTTATCGGCCTTGACCTCCAATGTTGTCATTGGTTATTGATCTTATGGAACTTTTCTTCCACTTTATAGAACACATTTTTAAATTAACTCAGTCTGCGTTTTCGTACTTCTTCAACCAATGGTCACCTCACCTTGCCAAACAGCCATGTAAACAGCCAAGCGTCACGGTATTTTTTAAGATTGTTACTTTTCCTTTCCTTAGTAGTAACATTTGTCAGTTATCGATATCCTATTCTTAATCTTAAGATATGTTAGCATATATTTAACCTTTTTACCAATACCCATCTTTACCTTGGTTTATATAAAGTTTTTTTACGGTCGCCATCATCACCTTATTTCTAGCTACGTCTTTATCTGATCACAGACAGAAGGGAAACCGAGTACTAAAATACTATGTATGGTTTGGGCCTTTTGTGGCGCCCAAATCCATCACAATCAAAAAATCTTCAATAGAACTTTCAAATGACTGTTTCTTTAATTTTGAATACTTCCCTAGTTCTATAATGTAAACATTTATTAAGGTTTTCAGTTATTGCTGCCATGGTTACCAGTTCATATTTGCATAAATCAATGAAATTTGAATATTCCGTAAATTTTGACAGGTTTTTGCCTAGTTTTTATCTTAATTACCATAGAGCGCACTCTTGAATAAACTTTATATTTCTCTCAAAGATGTATTACAGGCGCCTACACATTTTCCTTTGATTTTGAGTTTGTTTAATCATGCGCTCTACAGTTTCCAGGGGAAAAACTATGCAAAATATGACAAACTTCACTGTATATTCATTTTTTTTCTTCTAATTTATGCAAATTTGAACTTGTTACCATGGCAACAATAATTAGAAATACAAATAAATATTAGCATGGCAGTGCTTAGAAAGTATTTAAAATAAAAGAAACAGTCATTCTCAAAGTTCATTTAAAGGTTTTTAATTTTGATGCATTTGGGGGCCAAAACACGCCCAAACCATACATAGTCCGTTCAAAATATATCCTATCTCAAAGATTGAAATTTCACTGTTGATATAAGTGTTTTGTTATTTTTCTCCAACTCCTGATAATTTAATGATGAACCAGACGACCGCGCAATCATCAAGGGCACGTGAACTATGTGACAAAATTGATGACGCTTTTCAGGTTACACTGCATAAAGTGATGACGCTATCATGACGTTTTCAGAATGATAGCGAGTGAAAACTGCCATTTCTTGGTAGACTGGGTTATCTTAACCCTAACCAAGACAGGAGTGCACATTAGAGGTGTGTGAAAGTATTTTTTTCCAAGATATTTGGTGGCACACGGGAGGAGACGTCATGACGTGTGTATGAAACGTTTACGATATCAGAACGTCGTTTTTCCTCCTGTTATTTTGCATAGCTTAATGAAACTTTTCCTTTTCATTTGATATCTTCTAGTTCCGGCTATGGTTTATTTGTTTTGACATATAGTTCTAAGTATATATGCGAGTTAAACTATTTTTTTCTATCGTTATTACCTGATATAATTATTTAAGCTTACCCATTGTAATCTAAGGCCTCTAGGGGTTTGTCTTTGAACATCCTGAACATCTCTTTTGCTTTAGAAAACCTCCTGAATAGTCTGAAAGAATATCAGTATCTACTGTCACAAGATTATACACGATATAAAATACAATATACAAAAGAAGACCATATTTTGATATGAGTTTAGCAAATTTAAAAAGACGGAACTCGTTTTCCCATGCACTCCTAGCGTATGATAAAAAAGAAAATTACTTCTGTTTTTTAAATATATACAAGGGAAGGTGGAACGTCATTTGATGGGAAAGAAATGAGCAATTCCACTGTCGTATTCTATGGGAATCATTCTGTTTTTGCTTCAATGTGAATTTCTCCATTTTGAGACACTTTTCTTGTGCACACATATAACGTAATTAAAGAGGTGGACTCTTGAATTATAAAAGCTAGAATTGCCTTAATTAATTGGGAAAATCTTTTGAAATATTCGAGCAATTTGAAATTGAAAATACTCCATGTACTTTAATATACATAACATACTCATTTCAAATGAAGATGTTTTTCAATACCTGACTTTGAATAAACGTATAGCATGCTTGGTTGCATTTCTTTATCTAATGCGGATTAAGGGATCTATTCAGACAAGCCATACATATAGACAGTCGTTGTGTATACCTACTTCATGAAAAGCTTCACGCCATTAGTCTTTTTGTCCTCGGCCAGTATACCCCAGCTGTCCTTTAAAAGTTTCACCTCCTGATCTGTAAGAGCTCCTACGTTCTGTTGGGTTTCCGCCATTTTTCTATAATACAGAACTCTAAATGACTGAAGTGTTAAACGTTTCTCTACGCATTTGACTGTCACGTGGCCGTTATATTTGATATTTAGCTTAAATTGCTGACCACCATTAGTCGAGGGATGGGTAACTATTTGACGTATGTATCCGAAATCGGTTTTTTATTTCACTGTAACACACTGAGAAATAACCCCGACCTACATGATAACCTTTCTGACGGCAGTGTATAACCACTTACCATACCTCAAACAGGAATGTTACTCGTGAACGCTAGGACACAAAGAACATGTTAAGCTACACATGAACAATTACCCGAAATCGTGACATAGAAAATCGAGACAGAAGGTAAACTACAGAAAGGAAGAAGACAAAGGGGAAAGCAAAATGGAAAAAACTGAAATATTATAACTAGTATATTGACAAAAACGTGTGTACTCGACTATACCTGAATATCTTTGGTAGCTCATCAATACACCTGTATACCTGTGGTAACTCATTATTACACCTGTATACCTGTGGTACAATGTAACGCATTATTGCAGCTGTATAATGTGTTAACTCATTATCACACATATATACCTGTAGTAACTCATTATTACAGTTGTATACCTGTGATAACTAATCAATGCACCCGTACACATGTGATAGCGCATTATTACACCTGTATACATGTGGTAAATAATTATTACACCTGTACACATATGGTAAATAAATGGTACACCTATTTACATGTGGTAACTCATATATATACTTGTATATCCCTGGTAGCAGACTTTACACCTATATCAATGCGTTAAGTCATATATATACTTGTATACCTTGGTAGATCCTCACAACACATTTTTACATGTGAAACCTCTTACATAAACCTGTTTACTTATAGTAACTCACTTATACGCCTTTATACACGTGTTAAGTCATTATTATACCTGTGTACATGTGATAACTTATTCTATTAAACCTGTATACCTGTGTACATGTGATAACTTATTCTATTAAACCTGTATACCTGTGTACATGTGATAACTTATTCTATTAAACCTGTATACCTGTGTACATGTGATAACTTATTCTATTAAACCTGTATACCTGTGTACATGTGATAACTTATTCTATTAAACCTGTATACCTGTGTACATGTGATAACTTATTCTATTAAACCTGTATACCTGTGTACATGTGATAACTTATTCTATTAAACCTGTATACCTGTGTACATGTGATAACTTATTCTATTAAACCTGTATACCTGTGTACATGTGATAACTTATTCTATTAAACCTGTATACCTGTGTACATGTGATAACTTATTCTATTAAACCTGTATACCTGTGTACATGTGATAACTTATTCTATTAAACCTGTATACCTGTGGCAGCTTATCAATACATCTGTATACACGTGGTAGCTAATTATCGCTCGTGTATACCTGTGATTATTCGATAATATACCAGTTTATATATTGTAAGTATATTAATAGACCTTTACACATGAAGTGATGCATTGACATACCGAATGATGATGTCTACCTACCATAGAATAGCTTCGTTCAATTGTTGAGATAAGATTAAAGTTACCCTGTTTATTTAAATCAATATCACAAGTGTTCAGTGCACACCTGTACGTGGTAATAATAATTTATCAGAACTGCATGCGATAAAACAGGAGTGTGACCCAAATTTGTCACCAGCTCACATACAAACTACCAATACAGTGTTCAGGATGCTGGCTCAGCATTTTTAAAAGTCTCTTAATATAGGTCTTAATTCATGTCAAAACATTAACCATCAAATGTCAATAAGTAGGTCATTGTGCCACCGCTTGAGGGAATCCAGGGACAAAGATCAAATTCCACTTGCTCTCCCGAGCTAGGGCTTTACATATAAATAAAGATCTATTCTCATATCATGTTATCTTGTCTAATTAAGTGTATGAGGCAAATGTGTTAATATTTATCAGGGAAAAAAAAAATCTGAGAGACAGAAGAATTATTTCACGGTGTTTAAAGAGTTTTAACAGTAATTGTAAAATGCAGCTTTTTACGAAAACAGTTCTGTTTAAACCTCATAAATTTACCATCATTTCCTGTTTATGTCTTTACCTATTTTAACAAAAGATTGCTTATTTTTGCAATCATAAACTATTTGTAAATCCAGTCCAGATAAAGATGAGTGGCACAATACATAGAAATGTATGAAAACGAAAGTTAAATTTAAGTAGAATGTTTTTAATTTTAAGTATGTCTGCGATTAAATAGTCATGGTAATTATATAAGTAGAATATCTATTCAAATATATTAGATACGACTAACATACAAGCTTGTAAAATATCTTTATAATTGAATTAATGATATCAACACTATAGCTGAGCTGTTATATGTAAGTATAAGTTCATTATACCCCGATAGAAACAGCAACGCACTCACCTCTCTTATGTAAGTTCTAGTATTGTCGTTCCTACTTCCTTCCCTTGACGCTGGTATTTGCTGGATATTCCTGAAACACGAAATTTATACCCGTATGACACTCCTCTATCGGGTTAAGGATACTCGAATTGTATAGGTAGATACAAAAGAATGTTCGTTTACCGAAAAATACCCTCGTGTCAAAAGTCACGTATACCTTATTCAATCTTTATATGAACGATTTATATGTTCAATTCATACAGTGCTAAGTTGTACACGGTAACTGATTTAACGCATACTTACAAAACCAGCAAAGGTAACTAACTTTAGCGACTTTAAAAAAAAAAGTGACAAGTTAAGCTAACTACATTTACATCTATGAAACTGTAACTGCACTGACACATAAGTGACAAGAAACAGACGGTTACCGTACATACACAAACGTAGCATGTGATAGACAGTTCCTGAATTTACACATAGGTAACACGTATCATACAGTAACTGTATTTACACATAGGTAACACGTATCATACAGCAACTGTATTTACACATAGGTAACAAGTATCATACAGTTACTGTATTTACACATAGGTTACACGTATCATACAGTAACTGTATTTACACATAGGTAACAAGTATCATACAGTTACTGAATATACACATAGGTAACAAGTATCATACAGTGACTGTATTTACACATAGGTAACAAGTATCATACAATTACTGTATTTACACATAGGTAACAAGTATCATACAGTGACTGTATTTACACATAGGTAACAAGTATCATACAGTTACTATATTTACACATAGGTAACAAGTATCATACAGTTACTATATTTACACATAGGTAACAAGTATCATACAGTTACTATATTTACACATAGGTAACAAGTATCATACAGTTACTATATTTACACATAGGTAACAAGTATCATACAGTTACTATATTTACACATAGGTAACAAGTATCATACAGTTACTATATTTACACATAGGTAACAAGTATCATATAGTTACTGTATATATACATAGGTAACAAGTATCATACAGTTACTATATTTACACATAGGTAACAAGTATCATACAGTTACTATATTTACACATAGGTAACAAGTATCATACAGTTACTATATTTACACATAGGTAACAAGTATCATACAGTTACTATATTTACACATAGGTAACAAGTATCATACAGTTACTATATTTACACATAGGTAACAAGTATCATACAGTTACTATATTTACACATAGGTAACAAGTATCATACAGTTACTATATTTACACATAGGTAACAAGTATCATACAGTTACTATATTTACACATAGGTAACAAGTATCATACAGTTACTATATTTACACATAGGTAACAAGTATCATACAGTTACTATATTTACACATAGGTAACAAGTATCATACAGTTACTATATTTACACATAGGTAACAAGTATCATACAGTTACTATATTTACACATAGGTAACAAGTATCATACAGTTACTATATTTACACATAGGTAACAAGTATCATACAGTTACTATATTTACACATAGGTAACAAGTATCATATAGTTACTGTATATATACATAGGTAACAAGTATCATACAGTTACTATATTTACACATAGGTAACAAGTATCATACAGTTACTATATTTACACATAGGTAACAAGTATCATACAGTTACTATATTTACACATAGGTAACAAGTATCATACAGTTACTATATTTACACATAGGTAACAAGTATCATACAGTTACTATATTTACACATAGGTAACAAGTATCATACAGTTACTATATTTACACATAGGTAACAAGTATCATACAGTTACTATATTTACACATAGGTAACAAGTATCATACAGTTACTATATTTACACATAGGTAACAAGTATCATATAGTTACTGTATATATACATAGGTAACAAGTATCATACAGTGACTGTATTTACACATAGGTAACAAGTATCATACAGTTACTATATTTACACATAGGTAACAAGTATCATACAGTTACTATATTTACACATAGGTAACAAGTATCATATAGTTACTGTATATATACATAGGTTACACGTATCATACAGTAACTATATTTACACATAGGTAACAAGTATCATACAGTTACTATATTTATACATAGGTAACAAGTATCATACAGTTACTGTATTTACACATAGGTAACAAGTATCATATAGATACTGTATATATACATAGGTAACAAGTATCATACATTTACTATATTTACACATAGGTAACAAGTATCATACAGCAACTATATTTACACATAGCTATCAAGTATCATACAGTAACTGTATTTACACATAGGTAACAAGTCTCATACAGTAACTGTATATATACATAGGTAACAAGTATCATACATTTACTATATTTACACATAGGTAACAAGTATCATACAGCAACTATATTTACACATAGCTATCAAGTATCATACAGTAACTGTATTTACACATAGGTAACAAGTCTCATACAGTAACTGTATTTACACATAGGTAACAAGTATCGTTCATTTACTGTATTTACAAATAAGTAACAAGTATCATACAGTGACTGTATTTACGCATAGGTTACACGTATCATACAGTTACTGTATATATACATACACATACATAAGCAGACATTATTTGAAAATTAACCTATTAACTTTGTAAACGTATTCTGTTATTTTTGCTTGTTTTAAAATGGTTAAGTTTTATTTCCCGTATAAATCGACGGTGTATTGTATTTTTTGTCTTTTAATTCAATTGTTTTTATTTACTTTGTTAATGACTATTAACCTTGAAAACATTCAACACTAAAGCTCCATCTACATGAAACAAGGTCTACTGGCTATCATAATGGCGTCGGTATTATTTTGTCCTTCGTCGTGAGAAAAAATTGTGAATTCAATTTGTTAACAAAGTTCTTAAAGAAACCTGAGGATCATCTGATTTATTTGAAAGTTTTCTTTTATTGAGGACCATGTCGTTGATTTGTTTGCAATTTGTTATGTAGTCCAGATTTTGGTGTTTGGTTGTTCAAAATGAGAAAAAAAACGTTTAATTTGCAAAACGCATTCGAACGAGATAAGATTGATATAATGGTATAAAACCAAGCACACGGCGAAATAAATTATTATGATACCTATATATCTAAATTAACTAGGAAGATTTCTTAGCACTTTTATATTTGTTCAACGTATAAAATGTCCAGGTGCACTTTTTATTAAAAGTAATATTTTATGATTCATAAAAGCCGTCAATGTCAATACAGTATTTATATGTATAGACTTGAAGGTTTCAATTTTAAAGTGCATCTTATTTCACCATGTCGTTGCAATTTTATTGCGTAACCATACGTATCTACAAATTATCCTGTCCAGGATGGGACAAACAAGTAGTCTAGAATGTCTCCGTATCGGGGTGGCAACGTGAGTCATACCCGAATACACAAATATTCAGGAATTCAACGAAAACCCCATGAAAAGACTGTTTACCGACTTTCACACAGAAAGGGAATACACATTCGTGTGGAGGGCAATACCTAGGTAACTTCACAGACAGAGTATACAGTGTAATACTAGTTAAATGACTATCGTCGTAACACTTTTTCTAAACATAATCACTGATTCTATCTCTTCCCACAATAATTGTTCCTCGTTAATCGTTATCACCGGAGTTCCCCTTACACGAATTATAAAACGAAAAACAGCTTTAAAATAACTTTGCACATTTTTGTTGTATTGCTTAAAAACTTAAATTGATAAAATCGTAGGTAACATGTTTTAAGTGTTACTGTATGTATAACAATACAATTTACCACTCCCACTTTAGAACCACTCCTTGATGGAGTTGATCATACTATTTTAACCATGTATTTCAAGCCGGTGTTTAAAATGCGTGCTTTGTTGTAATATGGTTTGAGTATAAAACATCAGCATCGCTAAGATTCCTGAACATCGGCATACATTGTAAATTAAGACCGCGTTGCCACCAAGTGTTTTTATTAATTGGATTCAGTTTTTATAATGCGATAATAAGTGACACAGATGAAATGCATTCGTAAATGACATTCAATTAACATCCGCATCTTATCACAATGTTCTTACGAATGAACCAATCAAATCAAAGTGAAACCTTTATTTATAGTATTCGTCCAGTAGTGGACGTATTAACAATTGACCAGGGTTCCTATTCTATCAATTGAAAACAGTAAGTTTGTTATCAATAACGATATCATTATTGATTTCGCAGCAATAAACCAGGTGTTATCAGCGTTAAATTTAGGATGTGTGAGAATTAAGAACATTGATAGAAGTTAAGGATGGAGTCAGAGATGTTCCAAAATCTCTCCTTTCTGATGAAATAATCTCACTACTATGCAATTTGTGGTAATGATACAGCAATCTGCGGTAATGTTACGGCAATCTGTGGTAATGATTGAACAATCTGTGGTAATGTTACGACAATCTGTGGTAATGATTCGGCAATCTGTGGTAATGATACAGCAATCTGTGGTAATTATTCAGCAATCTGCGGTAATGTTTCAGCAATCTGTGGTAATTTTACGGCAATCTGTGGTAATTTTACAGCAATCTGTGGTAAGGATGTGTGAGAATTAAGAACATTGATAGAAGTTAAGGATGGAGTCAGAGATGTTCCAAAATCTCTCCTTTCTGATGAAATAATCTCACTACTATGCAATTTCTGGTAATGATACAGCAATCTGCGGTAATGTTTCAGCAATCTGTGGTAATGATTGAACAATCTGTGGTAATGTTACAACAATCTGTGGTAATGTACAGCAATCTGAGGTAATGTTACAGCAATCTGGGGTAATGTTACAGCAATCTGGGGAAATGATTCAACAATCTGTGGTAATGTTACAACAATCTGTGGAAATGTTACAGCAATCTGTGGCAATGTTACAGCAATCTGTGTTAATGATTCAGCAATCTTTGGTAATGTTACAACAATCTGTGGTAATGTGACGGTCATCTGTGGTAATGATACAGATCTGTGGTAATGTTACAGGAATCTGTGGTAATGATTCAGCAATATGTAGTAATGTTACAACAATCTGTGGTAATGTGACGGTAATCTGAGGTAATGATACAGCAATCTGCGGTAATGTTTCAGCAATCTGTGGTAATTATTCAGCAATCTGTGGTAATGGTTCAGCAATCTGTAGTAATGTTACAACCATCTGTGGTAATGTACAGCAATCTGAGGTAATGTTACAGCAATCTGTTGTAATGATTCAACAATCTGTGGAAATGATTCAGCAATCTGTGGGAATGTTACAGCAATCTGTGTTAATGATTCAGCAATCTTTGGTAATGTTACAACAATCTGTGGAAATGTTACAGCAATCTGTGTTAATGATTCAGCAATCTTTGGTAATGATTCAGCAATCCGTGGAAATGATACAGCAATCTGTGGTAATGGTTCAGCAATCTGTAGTAATGTTACAACAATCTGTGGAAATGTTACAGCAATCTGTGTTAATGATTCAGCAATCTGTCGTAATGTTACAACAATCTGTGGTAATGTTACAGGAATCTGTGGTAATGATTCAGCAAGCTGGGGTAATGATTCAGCAATCTGTCGTAATGTTACAACAATCTGTGGAAATGTTACAGCAATCTGTGGCAATGTTACAGCAATCTGTGGTACTGATTCAGCAATCTGTAGTAATGTTACAACCATCTGTGGTAATGTACAGCAATCTGTGGTACTGATTCAGCAATCTGTAGTAATGTTACAACCATCTGTGGTAATGTACAGCAATCTGGGGTAATGTTACAGCAATCTGCGGTAATGTTACGACAATCTGTGGTAATGATTCCCCACTCTGTGGTAATGTTACAGCAATCTGCGGTAATGTTTCAGCAATCTGTGGTAATGTGACGGTCATCTGTGGTAATGATACAGATCTGTGGTAATGTTACAGGAATCTGTGGTAATGATTCAGCAATATGTAGTAATGTTACAACAATCTGTGGAAATGTTACAGCAATCTGTGGTATTGATTCAACAATCTGTGGTAATGTGACGGTAATTTGTGGTAATGATACAGTAATCTGCGGTAATGTTACGACAATCTGTGGTAATGATTCGGCAATCTGTGGTAATGTTTCAGTAATCTGTGGTAATGATTCAGCAATATGTAGTAATGTTACAACAATCTGTGGTAATGTTACAGGAATCTGTGGTAATGATTCAAAGTGGACGTATTAACAATTGACCAGGGTTCCTATTCTATCAATTGAAAACAGTAAGTTTGTTATCAATAACGATATCATTATTGATTTCGCAGCAATAAACCAGGTGTTATCAGCGTTAAATTTAGGATGTGTGAGAATTAAGAACATTGATAGAAGTTAAGGATGGAGTCAGAGATGTTCCAAAATCACTCCTTTCTGATGAAATAATCTCACTACTATGCAATTTGTGGTAATGATACAGCAATCTGCGGTAATGTTACAGCAATCTTTGGTAATGATTCAGCAATCTTTGGTAATGATTCAACAATCTGTGGAAATGATTCAGCAATCTGTGGTGAGGATGTGTGAGAATTAAGAACATTGATAGAAGTTAAGGATGGAGTCAGAGATTTTCCAAAATCTCTCCTTTCTGATGAAATACTCTCACTACTATGCAATTTGTGGTAATGATACAGCAATCTGCGGTAATGTTCCGGCAATCTGTGGTAATGAGTCAGCAATCTGTGGTAATGATTGAACAATCTGTGGTAATGTTACGACAATCTGTGGGAATGATTCAGCAATCTGTAGAAATGTTACAACAATCTGTGGTAATGTGACGGCAATCTGTGGTAATGTTTCAGTAATCTGTGGTAATGATTCAACAAGCTGTGGTAATGATTCAGCAATCTTTGGTAATGATTCAACAATCTGCGGTAATGTTACGACAATCTGTGGGAATGATTCAGCAATCTGTGGGAATGTTACAGCAATCTGTGTTAATGATTCAGCAATCTTTGGTAATGTTACAACAATCTGTGGTAATGTACAGCAATCTGGGGTAATGTTACAGCAATCTTTGGTAATGATTCAACAATCTGTGGTAATGATTCCCCACTCTGTGGTAATGTTACAGCGACCACACATGTTAATTAGCTGTTATGATTCAACAATCTGTGGAAATGATTCAGCAATCTGTGGGAATGTTACAGCAATCTGTGGGAATGATTCAGCAATCTGTAGAAATGTTACAACAATCTGTGGAAATGTTACAGCAATCTGTGTTAATGATTCAGCAATCTTTGGTAATGTTACAACAATCTGTGGAAATGTTACAGCAATCTGTGTTAATGATTCAGCAATCTGTAGAAATGTTACAACAATCTGTGGTAATGTGACGGTCATCTGTGGTAATGATACAGCAATCTGTGGTAATCATTCAGCAATCTGTAGTAATGTTACCACAATCTGTGGTAATGTACAGCAATCTGGGGTAATGTTACAGCAATCTGGGGAAATGATTCAACAATCTGTGGTAATGTTACAGCAATCTGTGGTAATGTGACGGTAATCTGTGGTAATGATACAGCAATCTGTGGTAATGTTACAGCGACCACACATGTTAATTAGCTGTTGATGAAACTTATTTGTTTGATTTTAAAATTTCTACGTTTCTTTTATCAGTCGGTAACAACAGAACCAAACATGTATTTATTTGCTTTTTGTGTTGTTTTTTAATTTTGCTTCTGGGTGAAAGCAGCACGCTTCGAAACCAAATGATTAGCCATGAAAACCATTTGTAAGTCAATATTATCAATCATATTACATTTACTTTTGGTGTATATAAGGTATTTCTATGACGAAGCTTTGTATCGATATGCATCCTGTTGGCAATACAATTACGTAGCGATCAATGTTGATGTGGTGTCATTGTCTATCTTAACAACCACCTTGTCTGAGACCATATTACCTTCTTAAATTTGACAGAGAACAGATCTAGCGATGCCATCGGTGGTGCAGGTTCTTGGTTATGACATTTGATTCTTGTTTGTTATCTCTATGGTATAACTTTTTGCTACTTTGTCGCAGTGCATTTTTTTCTACGTTTCTTTTATAAGTCTTGTCAGCCTTGTATTTCAAAATCAAACAAATGTCCTCCACTTTAGTGCAAATACCCTTTCCTATAATTAACGCATTCTAAAGATAGTTGTTGAATTAAATATTTTAATAAATGCAAGACAAACTTGTCATCATTCCACTTAAAGAATCTTAACATCTATCTTGTTTGTCATGAAAAACTATATTCAAGAGACTTTGCAATCGTCAATGATAAGGTGCACCTTAATGGTGGTTATGTTTCCTCAATTAGTGCTAGATTTCTCGAGAATAACGCCAATGTTTCGGTAGGAATACACACGATGATTAACGTCATTCAATGGAATAATTAATGGGGTAATCATTGCGTTTTAAAGTCCCATTCAAAAAAGAAATCTTTTAAAAAACCGATTCATATGTAACTATACCTATCTCAATATGATCTTAAGTGCGATTTAGTATGCACAGCTATTGTACTGATGTAGCACGTACGTTTATCTCCATACTGGTCCATTCTTTGTATGACCAGAATTATACACATTCAATTGCTATTAAGGCGAGTCCGCCGTGTCTGTCCTTTTGTATTGTTTTTGTTGTTTTTCACAAGCGCAAGAGTTCGTCAACCAGAACTAAATCATTCTAAATCTTTCTAACAATTTCATCCTCCGTATATTACACTTTGATCTTTGTTTTTTTGTTGTTGTTGGGTTTTTTCACAAAAAATTGCCTCCAAATAATGAACAGCCATATTTTTGTATCGCCTTTCGCCTTTCATAGAAAACACATTTTCACATAATATTTGAGTTCTTCGAAATCCTCATCTCATTAATTCTACTTCCGGAGAGAATGTCATAATATGTCGTCTTTCGAAAAACTGGATGATGTTTAGGTAGTGTTTCATTGGTTATCAATCAAGCCTTTTTTGTCATGCAGGAAATTATGAACATTTTTGACAAGCACGTTAAGCGTTGTGCAGGCTTATCACAGAACTAATTGATGATACAATCAAAAGCTGTAAAACATTTTTTAAAACAACCCAGAATCCTTACATTCAGTTTTATAGTAAAGTATAAGAAAACAAAACATATTTTGTTAAAAGTTTATTTAGATACCTCTGTTATATTAGCAACACGTACATTGTTACAGGAAAGTGTCAGTAATGTGTTTAGACATTTCAACACCAACTGTCTGACAGAATATACAAACTCATAACATATTGTAACATAGTTCAACGTATACACAGGTGCACGTTAACTAATTAAACCAGATTTTACTATTCTGCGCTTGAAATTATATATAATTTCCATAATAAAATAAGTACAGTGATTCATATTGATTTCCTTCTTTTGGTATTTTGAGATCGAGCCACTTACTAATGTGAACTTATTTGAATGTTTTCTATATTCCATATTTTTGAACTTCGAAGAACGATTGTATTTTTATCAATAGTTTGTTTTCTATCCATTTTAATACTACTGTTTAAGAAGTTTTTGTAAAATATTTGATTTCTTTCTTGTCAATGTCATGGAAACACACAAAGTTCTTAAATTGCGTTTTATTTTCCGAATAAAGTACTCACAGCATATTTGATATTGGTTTCCGTTAACTGAATACGGTATTTATTTCTTTGTTTCCCACATTATTTTTATATTTTGTTTTTAAAAATAAATGACTAACTAATCATGTTTCATTACATAATCCCTTTTTAACAACACTAGTGTAAGACCTCTGATACTGTGGATCTATTAATATTCGTTCGGAGAAAAGATGTGTGTTGATTTGTAACATTTCGTTAGGACACAGTTTAAAAAAATTCAAATAGCCTTTACTGATATATTGACACCTGCATATAAAAGTTGTATAAACATGCTGTTTATGTCATTAATTGCCTATTTTCAGCAATATTCTACGATTTTAATTGTGTTTGCTGGTACACCAGGCTAAAAATAATAGTACAGTTCACAGCCAGAAACAAGAATTACAAAACAAGGCAATACAAGTGGTTTCCGATAACATATATTATACCACTATTTACATCATGTTCAGTAACACACTATTCCAATAACATGTCAAGGTTTCTATTACCATAGGTGAAAGAGCTTCGTATAGTTTACAGACAAAGAACACTAACACGTGATAAAAATATAACCTGTTATGTACCACTTTGAATTTCGTGATTAGTTCGCTATAGAAATAACACAGTTTGATACATATGATAAAATTGGTGTAACGAACAATTTACATAGATAAAAATGCATATAGAAAATTAGCAATATAAAACATGATATTTTTTATATAAACAACAGGAACAATACTGGCAGTGGGAAACTAAGGATACGTTTACAAATCATTCTAATACACATAATCTCAATACATATGTACCCCTTGTGAACTTTTACCCCTTTTAGAGATATATACATCAGCGACATCAATGGAAAAAATGATAGTGTTCTATAGCTACATGAGCTCTGTAGCTGATATGAGGTATCCATGCTAAGGCGACTCACATATATGTCACGAAATGTGTAGGTCGGAGTGAATTGAAGCCTATCCTTTGCGATTAATACTCATTGCAATGAGTACCTATCTGACTCTATGCTCATAAAATAAACCAAACTCGAAATATGTGTACAAATTATTTTATCTTAAATTCAACATTATAAGCGCATAGTAACCGTGTTCAGCCAAAGTTATCGGCTAAGTATCTCTTAACAATTGAAACTAAAAACCACACTTGCTACCTAGAGCAGTTTGGGTGTGACGATGCATATACGAGTTTGTGGCTTTATGTTGTATTCCTTGTCAAGCTTAATTACTCGAGAATAACTCATTTCGATCGTAAACATGAATTAGACTTACTTTATACTTACGTTAATTGCATAACGTTATAAAAGGATATATATATATTAAATAGACACCAACTGGATCCAGTGTGTGCTGATGTACAATTTCTTCTCATATGAACACGAGTCGTTATCGTGGCCAGTCTTACTAATCGGTTTGGCCCGAGTAGGTATCGTTCTGCCTTCCTTGTTCCTTTGTTTATAGGGCTTTGTTAGTATTTTAATATAGTTTTAAGGGAACTTTGTATCGGTGTTGCCAACAGTTCTTCCCAATTGTATAAACCATCTTTCTAAAACACTCTCAATGTATTGTCAATTGAGTCTATGACCAAATCAAACACAGGCACTCCAATGTATACTGATTTTGAAATATCCATAATTTGTTTTCTTTTTCAATATTTCATTGTTTCCGTAGTCTTTGATTAAAGTATTAAAAAGATGAGTTGTAGTGTTTCCGGATAGACAAGTTCTCAGTTCAGAAAATGTGCACACGTAACATATATAATAATATGTTAATATTTAAGTTTATATACCGAGGAGGAGAAAGACCTGATATTCCAAGGCAGAATCATCATGGATGAACCGCCCACATGGCGTGAGCAATACTAGATAAAAGTCGTAACACCGTCATCAATTTATCTTAGACCTCCTTTTGTGCCTTTTCCACTATATCGCATACTGTATCTATCAATTTTGTCCAACCGCTTTTTATTGTTTCTAGGTCAACTGAATCGTCATCCTTCACCAAATCTTCAATGACCGCGTGAAGTACAGGTGTAAGCAACTGCAACGAAAACAACCATTACACAATCGGTCATGTTGCACATTTTTGTCGTAGGATCACATTAAGTTGTCCATAACTTGTTACAAAAATAATCTAAGAAATGTTTTCGAATGATGATAGTTGTTTTCATTCTGAATACAAATTCTTTATATGAAAAAATCTTTAAATAATCTAATTGAATAACATATTATTAAACAAAATCTTCAGCCACGTGACAGTCACGAAATACAACGAGACCTTCTGCCATGTAAGTCACGATTTACCACAACAAAACAAGCCATCTAAACGTGATCATCATATAATAAACCGATATGGTCCTATACGAGTCAATAACATTATGAAACTTTAAATCCCAACGTGACAATCACAATATGCCATGATAATCCGAGCACGTGACAATCAATTTATATCAACTTTCCCTCTATTACATCACATTCTTATAATACCACCATACCTCAAATTAAATTACACAACTGCCCATTTTATCTCCTTGCAATCATATTATTATCATACACTGAAACTTTCCGTCCATCTCTTTTTATCACTTTTCCGACCATCGGATGACAATCTCGTCACACCATTTATCGCGTGAGATTTAGATGATAAACGTGACAATCACTTCATATGCTAAAAGCCCCCTTCACCTGACAATTGCTGCACCACCTAACCTTCCATCACAAAACAATCAATCATACAATACTAAATAACATTCTACCATAGGGCAATATTATTATTCCGCGATGCCTCCTGTTCTGTGGTTATCACGTTATAGAAGGATATCTCACGTGACAACCATATTAAACAAAGGTCCCTCCAATCAAATGATTATTACATTGTTCCACCACGTGGAAATCAAATTATACCACGATCATCCCATTATATGATAATCGCACTATACCACGATACCTCCAATCACGTGAAAATAACACTATACCACGATACCTCCAATCACGTGAAAATAACGCTATACCTCGATACCTCCAATCACGTGAAAATAACACTATACTTCGATACCTCCAATCACGTGAAAATAACACTATACTACGATGTTATTCATTATCGTACAAAAAAAAACAAATGCGTCATTTCTCATAAAACATATAGTAGTTTATATAGAAACTGGACATTAGATATATACTGACCTTGAATTTGTCTGGTCCTATGCCCCTTGGCTTATGGCTGATCGCGACCTTTTTCACTAATTCCTCTAAACAATACGCATCGTCCAGACTATCTACGTAAGACTCGAGCGCGTACATCACACTCATAGCGTGTGCTACCATCTTCTTGTTACTTTTGGTCGTCTCTCTAAATATGCAGAAAAGTCGTGTTTAGACCGCATGTGGACAGTCAAGGCACATCTGTCATTTCAACTTTAAAAAATATCCACACCTGGTTATAAAGCTATGTGGAGATGTCCTATTTCTTTTTTCAAATTGGTCCAGAAGTAGCTTACTGTCACACACTTGTAATTTCATATATTTCAACATTTTTTTTTTTCAAGGTAGGTTGGTTTACTAGGAGGCATTATGATAATTTAAGAATATGTGTCCTAAGCACAAAGAATTTGGACGGATATTTTGTTGGTCATGGTGCATGCTTACCCATCATATTTAAGTTGATCCAGCGGCACGTCTTTGAAGTGTTTAAATAAATCCTTCGATGTAGGGAATATCGTAAACAACCTGAAATGAAGAATCATTTCAGTATAAGGCTTTTTATGTACCGTTACTTGACATCTGTTATAAACATCAGAGTACCGTTATGTGGCTCCTGTTATCAACATCAGTGTACCGGCATAAACATGATTTTATTTTTTGTCACATTTGTCATAAACATAATGTTTTCCTTTTTTGACATTTGTTATGAATATAATGTTTCATCATGTAACATATGTAATAAACATTTATGTATTGGTATTTGACATTTGATAGAAGTCATATAGGTTCATTTAGTTTCATCGTAGGTTTCTTTATTTATCTGTTCAGTATTTCATTTCTTCTGTCGTTTGAATTTTCATGAATATTTTGATAAATAACAGTCAGGTGTCTAGACGTACGTCATAAAGAACTTGACCCCATTGCTCTTCTTGTCCTCAGCCAACACATCCCAGCTGACCTTGATCATTTTCAGTTCCCTCTCTGTTAGACCAAGAGGGCCGTCAGCATTTCCATTCGTTGATTGACCGTTCTCCGACATCTTCCTGCTACAAAAATAATAATAATAATTCATGTTTGATATATGTTTTTTTGTTTGTTTGTTTGTTTGATTGTTGTCTTCAATATACTACAGGTTGCATGACGACGTGATGAGGCCAAACCAGGGGGAAATGTCTTCAAATGGCTACAATCACGCCAGGACAGATAGATTATGTCCCCGTGCCAATGAACGACGTTTATATGTCCGAATTACATACATTGACCCCTAAAACAGACATAAACCTTTCCCAACCAAATCTATCACTCAACATTTAGCCTTTAACCTTTAACCTTTAGCAAAAAGATTTGGTAAAGATTGCTACAGAAACACAACACCAACGTGATAAGAGAATGCCCTTTTTATCATTGTATGATTGTCGAGAAGTATCATGACACTCGTTCTAATATTTGATGTGATGGGAACAGAATGAACAGGAAGTCAAACAAACGTAACACAATATCACAGATATATTATAATCCTGACAACGATCAAGTCTAATGGTTTGAGGATGACAACAGGATAGACCATTATATACAGGCATTTATAACCAGGTCTGTTTAACACATATACTGTATCTGTGTTTTCATGGGATACTTATCTTAATATATGGTAAAAGAGCACAGAATCGTCTGATTGTAACTCAGATTTATAGACGATAGACATTCAACTTACGTTTTCTATTAAGCTACACATTCAATCTAAACGAAACGTGGTCGACCCACACAAAATAACTGTGCCCAAAGATAACAGATACTAATTTGATAGATAATTACAAAGGAATGATACAAGTGGATAAGTGGACAAAAAGTAAACATGCATACGTAAGTTTATATATAACTTACAGAATTACTACCTTATATTTGTATTCTTTTGTAGATAAGTCGAATAAGAATATGTGCATTGACATACTAAAGCATATGTATATATAACTCGATTACGAAAATATATAGAAGGCATACAAAGAATATGTTTCGTCTTGACTTTATACTGGTGTAGTACATAGTCTGAACAGACTGATAGATATTAGAATTCGCGAAAAGGTACAAATTTACTGTTCAATAGGACGTAGTCCTAAACGGACGCGCTTGGAAATGATTTCTTCTAAATTGAAAACATCTTCTGAATTAGTGTATCCAGCTGTCTAATGCAGTTTGAGGTGAAAATATAGGATATAAAGAAGTATTCACTCAAATATCAAATCATGGTATGTGGGAATAACTCACTTTAACCATTTCCCTTGCCATTATCCTAAGTCTTGCCAGTATGAATGTGCATACCGAGGTTGGTCAATGGAAATATGTACATGTCTACCGTGTTCGGTTAAAAACGAACCATGCTTATGGCAGCTACTGCACAGAAACCAATAAACATATCAGACATGGATGATATGATTAATTTTACGAAGGTATGTTTGTATCAAGCATGGCGATCTATAGTAGCCTTGCAACTATGTGTGTGTATACTGTTTTAAGTGGAAAAAGAATCATTGTGTGGGAGGTACTTCAGTAAAACCCAAGACGTGACAGACGGTCGGCCGGACGGACGGACACATCAACACTATATTGATATTATCCCTGTGTTTACCGAAAAGACGGGGATGGGTCGGAAAAGGCACTGGAAGAGCGTTCGAAAACCGCATCATTTCTCAACAAGATTCGAGTTACACATTTACTGCTACACCTTCAACTAACTATCCATTTGACCAATATATCATATTACTTCTACAGAATGCTAAGCCCACCTCTAATGCCCAACAATCAACTATCAGAAAGTTTATCGATTCAATAGGATACTTATTGTGAAATTGTGTAATATTTTTTATCTTTCTACATCAGAAATATACGTATTGTATTACATATTAAACTATCTCTTACTCAAATCAAACCCAAATAATATAGAATCCATCTGCTTTTAAATAACAATGGTTACTTTCAAATATTCCGAACTATATCTAAAACAAAGTTTCATGTACGTGGAAACATCAAACACTTTAACTGTATACAGAAGGTCATATTGAGAATTAGAATGAATCCATCTTCAAAAACCGTTCTAACTGAACACCAATAAAACTTCACAGGGACAAACACAGTTATAATCAAAATATGCTATGCGGATATAGTCACTCCTACTGGCACATTTCAAAGCATGTGGACATACATACTAAAACCACAGTGATAAAGAAAACAAACTCAAACTGGCCATTGCATCTATGTAAGCGGTGATACATACTGAAAACACACTCGTACGGGTCAAGACACTTCTAAACGCGTTTGTACACACTGATAGTGAACGCAAACTCCTACTGGTCAACATACTTGGAAAACCATTGGGACGAACTGATACTGAAAACAAACTCTAACTGGGCAACATACTTGGAAAACCATTGGGACGAACTGATACTGAAAACAAACTCTAACTGGGCAACATACTT